ACAACAGCAAACACACAAACATTTTGTGTGGAGCGTGTTGCTAGCTAAAGTTTCAGCTGCTTTGCTTCACAGGAAGATTAAAAAAAAAGAACGTCACTGAGAGATGTAGAAAGATAAAAAAAAAGAAGGAATAAAAAAAAGAATAAAAATAAGGACAGGAGAGGAAGAAGAGGGGTTATATTTAAAAATAAGAACTGCTCAGTGGCATTTGATTAACTTGAAATTTAAAGCTTACAAGTTTTTAAATCAGATATTGGGTCTGTACATGTGACATATTTTTTCATATTATGAAACGTGCTGCAAAACAAACTAAGGCACGTAACTGTGTCATCTAAAGGTTGCATGAGACTACTGGTGTACTGTGTTGAATTTAAAGTAAAGAACAGTGTAGGTTACAGAGTAGCAGAGATATATTTGAAATTAAGCTGAGGATACATAGAATCCTTCACTAAAAGATTGAACTTTGCAAGAACCCCCAAGTCTGATGAAAAACTATATCTAATGCACCATTTATATTTTTTTATATTGTTTATTTTAGCTATAATATTTGGTGTGTTGACACAACATAGAGTTCATTGCCCCATGACACCAATTACACTGTGACAATTTTTTTAACACAAAATTTATTTTTTTCATTTAGTATTGACTCTTGCCAAAGACAGAAAATCTACAATGATGCCATATATTAGTATTAGTGCAAATCCACAGAAATTAATATCAGAGAAAGAAAGCCTATGTATTATAACAGTAACCGTAATGGTATGCTACATTTATAATAGTTAATACTGTTATTAGTAAATGTGTTACTCCAGTGGTCCCCAACCCCCGGGCCATGGACCGGTACCGGTCTTTGAGCCATTTGGTACAGGTGTGAAATATATGGTTTTCAGGGTTTTTATTTTTAATTCGGTTTCCCTGGATCTTTTCCTCTGTGATATCAATAAATGTTCTTTTAGAAAAAATAAATAACCTTACATTATTTCCATTTTTTTATTATCTGACTCTGAACAGTGTTTCGGGCGTCATTGTCCCTCATTACTCCCGGGTGGGACTGTCTCGTTACAGAGAAACAAGCACAGGGCTGTCACTGATTTAGCGTCATGGTGAATTTTGCAATTTCATGTACTTTATATTTGTTTTGCAGTTGTGTGTCTTATTTTAAAAGAAATATTTACGCATTACCATAGCAACCAGACAGCATTAAGGGGCACAGAGGAGGATGTTACTCTCAATGTTGTTGGTGCATTTCAGGAGGACACTGCTAATAAATTGACACAATTACACAGTGAATTCGTTTTTATTAATACCACAGTTTTTGTCTTGGTCGTATCATTTTATTTTGTTGTACTTTTTATCTCTGAAACCTTAAAGGCCGGTCTGTGAAAATATTGTCTGTCATTAAACTGGTCCGTGACACAAAAAAAGGTTGAGGACTGCTGTGTTGCTCTTTCTTTATTGATTTCTTTCATTGATCTTGGTTGACATAGTTAGATCACAAATACGTAGAAAAATGTGTAAAAAAAAAAAAGTATACGTGTACATGTTAATAATTAATAGCGGATGAGTAGATGACATAAAAGCAACCAAAGCAGATCATTTGTCAGAAGTCTGTCAAGTGGTGAAATTTCGAAGATGAATCTCAGCAGTTCATTTTTGATTTTGTTGTTTTGTGGCCTGGCTGTGGCCCAGGGTACTATCGAAACCAATGCCATGACAGAAAAATTTAATTCTTTGGAAAGCAAGATGTTGAACATTGGAAGCAGGCTGGAAAACTACGAAAGTCGCATCCTTCAGCTGGAACAAAAAGGTAAAGAATAAAGCTGAAGCAGACGGTTTGTTTTGTTTTTTTGTGATTTTCAACATCTGGAGAAATAAAATGATGTGAAGAATCATACTTTAACACATATCTGAAATAAACATGTTTTTTTTTCTTAGAGAGAAACACGGTCATATTCAGTGTTGGAATTGGAGTGAATTCACCATTTGGGCCCTTTAACACAGACGTAACTATGATCTACGATCACACATTTGTAAATATTGGAAATGCCTACAGCCCAGTTACAGGTAAGATTCTTCTTCACAGTTTTGTGTTAGTGAAGTAAATAAAGCCAAAAAAATGTGTCATGTGATGATGCATGTTTACATTCAGTAATAACATTTGCAGATTCGTAATACTGAAACTTTTTTGATAATTTTGAAAAAATGAAAGAGATTTAAAGATATTACAAGTCTTCAACTGAGGTGTTTCTTGCATTTATACGTGTAAAACCTACTTCTTCAGAAAATGACAAAAAATTAAAGGAGTTTACTTTTTTTTTCTCCAGGTATCTTTACAGCACCTGTTTCAGGTGTGTACTTCTTTACCATTTTCTCTCATTCTGGAGGTGAACGTAAAACATGGCTGCTGTTATACAAGAACAATGAGGTCATCTTACACATCCATGATCACCAGTCAACTGACACAGCTGATAATGGAGGAAATGCGGCGTTCCTGCAGATGCAGCAGGGTGATACAGTGTATGTGCGTTTAAAGGAGGGTACACATGTCTATAAAGCCAGAACAGTAACAACTTTCAGTGGATTTTTGGTCAAACAAAACAGTTAAAAAGAGATGTACATTTCTTTGAAATTGTGTTTGGCTGCAGTGGTTCTTGTGTGTGCTACAATAAAACACATTTAAATCATACCTACAGCTGATTATGGGGTTTACTTCACTTTTGTGTTGTTAAACGATTTAGTGCTTATCAAACTAGTAAAAGACTCTTTAAATGTGGCGTGGAAATGCTAGTAAACTTGTTTTTGATGTATTTGTAACTAGTAGATGAACAATATTATGTTTGGAAACAGTTCACGGGGAATATTCAACATTCAATATTCAAGCCAACTGAGACATTTTTTCTACTGCTCTTTGAAACCAGGATTGAACTGAAACATTATTTTGTTCATCTCCGTCTCAGAGAAAACCAGCAACAACAACTTTGTACAACTCAAAGTTGAAACTCACACAGAAGCGAGGGAACTTCAGTGCAGTGTTACATGCAAATTTTAACTTTGTATCTATACCCAGACCTCAACAAAAAAATGTAAATTTGTTTGTATAAATGTGTTTTACAAACACAAATCTTTTTTTACAGACACACAAATTCTCATTTTTAGATGTACAAACATAAAATTTTCAAATATTGTGGTTTATAAGGTTGAAAAACAATTCACAACTATACAGTCTGATTTACAAGTACAAAATTTTTATGACCACAATTTGAGACCATACACAATTGACTCTTGTGTTGTGAAATGCATTCGTGGATACCTTGCTGCCCCAAGTCTACACTACCACCAGTTCACAGCAGTCGGTTATCTAGGACCGACCTGTCTTGACTTACTTTGCACAGTAACCAATCAGATGTTAGACAATCTGTAGTGGCAGCGTTAACCCCCCCTCTGAGTTTGATGGGTGAGGCTGACAGATAAAAGGTATTCATAAAGACAGCCGCAGGGACAAGTTCATTTTATTTAAATCACTGAATGACTGAAATGTGGGAAAAATCCACTACAGACAAGTCAATGCTGACAGGTTTTAATCATCCAGTCAGAAAAGATTAATCTAAAAGTCATCAACTGACTCCAACTGCCCAGATCTGATTTTAAAAAAGTTAGGTCTTTTTTGGTGTTGAGACAAACTTTGGACTGAAAATAAAATGTATTTCTATGGGTCAGTTAGAAGGTACTCCCTCTACTTGGATTCACACGGTTCAAAAAGTTTAGGGTAGCATATTAGTTTGGATCACACACCCCCAACGTTCTGTAATGTTACTGATCAGCTCCACATTTATTGTGTATAGTTTTAGTCGCATGTTTTCAGCAGTAAAGTGTTTACTTAAATTCAGTGCACATATCAAGATGGTGCTGTTTACACCATTCTTTTGGAGCATTTGAGATGTATTTTGTTAGCATTCATCTTAAAACAGGTTTCACAAGAAAGTTGACTATGTCTATGACAGTGGAATATGTTGATTCTCTTTGTCTATCTGATAATGGAACACATATTAAAAATATGTGAGATATGTTTGGAAAAGCTATGTACACAGTTGTAATACTGTAGAGTAACAAAACTCCTAAACACAAATTTAACAATATAGTGTATGCCGTAAAGCACATGTGTCAAACTCAAGGCCCACGGGCCACATCTAGCTCGGCATACATTTATATCCAGCTCGCGAGATAATTTTATATAGATGTATTATTATTGTTATGCATGGCCTGGCGATATGAGGCGCTAATAACACACAAACTATAATGCAGAATCCCATAATGCAGCCCTGCAGCCTCCTTGCCAAACGCTAGGCTGCCTGGGAATATTCCTGCGTCAGTCAAGTCAAACTTCTGTTATTGCAAAGCGCCCTCACAATGGTGGAGAGAAAAGTTGATTCTGAAAGCAGAGCCTTTCAGCACCGTGGGGAGGCTGAATATATGTTTACAGATATTGCTGGTAAACCAGTGTGTTTTATTAGTGGAGCTAATGTGGCTGTAATTAAGGAATTTAATTTACGACGGGCACTACGAGACAAAACATCACGATAAGCTGAAAAACCTAAATGCAGAGCAAAAACTACAGAATGTGAATGTCAGGGTTCCTGGGTCGTTGACCCAGTGATTTCAGTTTGTTCATGTTCAGTTTAGTTCGCCACATTAATGTTCTCACTTCCTGTTTTTTCCCCGTGTCAGCTTGTCCCCCGTGTCATTAGTCAGATTATGTTCAGCCCTGTACTCGCCTGTTTCCAATCACTGTCATCATTCAACCTGTGTATTTAGTTCCTCTGTTTCACCAGTTCTTTGTCGTGTCATTGATGTACATGTGATGATGTCGTTCCTGTCGTGTGTTCAGTTCAGTTCAGTCAGCCAGCCATTCAGTCGTTCAGTCAGCCAGCCATTTTCTACCTCTGTTCTGTTCATCCACTCCTTATAATAAACCTTCACCAGTCTTCACCTACCTGCGAGTCCTGCGTTTGGGTTCCTTCCTCCTCGCCTCCACACAACGCCTGACAGTGGAAGAGCTAAAGAACAATCTAACATTTCAGCAGACGTTTTTCACCAGGGCAAAGTCACAAAGTGAAGCTGTTGTGAAAGCAAGTTTTATTGTAGCAGAGGAGATAGCCAAATCAGCCCCGTACCACTCTGAAGAGCTGCATGATGAAGCTGTGCGACGTCTTGTGTCCAGACCAAACGCGAATTTTGGCAAATGTGAGGCTGAGCAGAAATGTATGTCAAAGTGTAACCGACATGAAACTACTCCCATGGGGCTTAAATTTTGGAGTCTCCACCATTTGACCCTAGAACTGAAGAAGCTTCTCCGATGAGAGGTGAAACATCTTCAACAAACTTAAACAAGTCCAGATGCTTTTCTTTCCAAGCTCCATAGACTACGATGACCTGGATGACTGAGAACCTTCATGTTACATTTGTTGCAATTTCTGCTCCCCTCATTGTCAGAGCACTCTTAAAAAACAATGTCAATGAGACTTTTTAATTAGATAAATAAAGGATATATGAAAGTCACTTCATCAAAATACTGATTGAAGCTTCAGCCTTGTGACAGGAAGGTTATTTGTGGCCCAAGAAACAGGTGTGTCAGCTACAGCCTTGAGAAAACAGCTCTGCCTGGAGGTGGGCCCATGCAGCGGGAACAGCCAGTATCCCAGAGTTGTAGTTAGCAGTGGCTCTCCTACAGCTTGTGTGCTGGTTCAATGTGATGATCATATTCTTTTTCAAAGGTGAGAAACAAAGATTGTTTTTTCTTCAAAAGATTTTTTTCTCATTAAATAGTTGGAGCAGAGGTACAAGAATAATTATAGGGACGAATCTAAACTATATATGTTTTTCAAATACTGTATTTTTTATCATAAATATCCAATATCATAATTTTAACAAAACAAATTTGTTAAACTCAACGACTGATTAGAATCTGCAGTATTTTACAAGTCTTCACACCGCAAAGAATTCTGTAAATGTCATTGTGTTTGACTCTGGTAAGCCAGTCTTTCTTTACTTAAAGGGTTTATATACAAGGTATTAAAATTTCTGTTTAATATGGATTGTTAGCTGTGTAGGTTATTTTTCATATTAATGAGTGATCACTTTCTGTAATACTTTTTTTAGTACAATGAAAAAAATAACATGTTGGAATAATATTACAAAAATATGTACATCAGTTGCACGCAATCAACTTATGTTTTGTCAACCATAGTTTTCTATGTTATAACTGCACACAATTTTTTTTGTAACATGAACATGATTTTTTTATGTTGTTGTTCTGCATTTCACGCCTGTCAAATATTTATAGAAACCATTTGTTTATCAGATATTCACTGGTGTGTGGGTGTGTGTGTGTGTGTGTGTGTATGTGTTTGCACAGGTGGTTGAACCTGCTGGCACATTACATAAATGAGTAATTAATTCTGATGGTCATCCATAACACTGAGTGAGTTCATGTTTCAGACGCTGCATGGAGATCTAGTGTTTGACAAGAGGAGCAAACTCAACAAACCTACGGTTACGGTGTAACCTTGGTTCTCTTAGTGAGAGACTATCTCTCCAAACCGTTACATATTCCATATGTACGGGGAACGGCCCCTCTTGGTCGTGGCATGTGAATATTTCTTTAAGACACTCTGGCACGAAAGATAGTCTCTCACTAAGAGAACCAAGGTTACATCATAACCGTACGTTCTCTAGCATATCGAGACTATCTCTCCACACCGTTACATATTCCATATGTACGGGGTAACTCTGTAAGACACCCCGCGAGGGGACTGTGCAACCGACCCGTGGAGAGTGAAGGTGCCGGGAGTCAGTGACAACGCACCAATAAAGACACCACCCTGGTCAGGG